GGTCGGGTGGGCCAGGGCAGGTGTCCCGGGGCTCCGCTGCGACGTCGGCCCGGCCCTACGGATGCCGCGCGCCTGGCAGCTGGAAGGGGGCCCAGACCGCTCTCCACACTGTTCTCAGGTCTTTGTTTAAGACCTTGGGGGGACCGCTCCCGGAGCCCCGAGGAGAAACTGGCAAAGGGGAAACAGTGGAAAAGTTTGGAATGCCGAGAGAGCAAGACGGCTTTCCCAAGGTTTTTAACCCGTGTGTGGCCCTAAGGGGAGCGGGGTTGGCCCTCTGCCCCTCTAGTGGAAGTTAGTTGTCTGGACGGAAGAGGAAGCGCGCTGCTCAGCCCACTCTCTGAACGCTGCAGAGGAAGCAGGAGATAACCTTGCCTTCAAGGAACTTGTACTCTTGTTGGGGCCAGTAGCATGGTGGCCAGAATACTGCACTAAAACTTGCTGTGGTTGTGGTGAGCCTGACCTCCCACCAGCTGTGATCTTAGAAAGGCCATTTAGGTTACCAGTCACAGAGGATTTAAAACACCGTAAAAAGCTGGTGAACAGTGACTAGCATATAAGCCCTTTACGCAGGCATGCTGTTATTCATATGGGAAAGAATACAGTATGCCACATAGCCATAAAGGCTGAGATTGATGTGCGTGTTGTTTTTTTTTTTTTAAGTGTGGCGAGATAATATAGCAGAAGACACTACAAACTATGATCTGAAACTGTGATGTACCTTTAAGTTCATAATTAATCTAGAAAAGGAAAAGAATATGATTTGGAGTGTATCATATGATCAGTGGAATTTGGGGCACACCAATAAAACTCCTTTATTAATGACAAAGGCCTCTAGCCCTCCTTCGTGAAATGAAAAAGAGTGGATATGAATTAATTTATGCATTTTAAAAAGCATTGACTGACTTATGGACCAATCATTGAGAAAGAAGGAAGGACCAAAATAGCACTGGACCTTGTATCTGATACACTCAAAGCCAATAATAATTACCATTAGTTATTGAGCATAGGAGCCAGGCATTAAGCACATTTCAGTAATCCTTACAACAGTGAGTTAGGTCTTAATGTCTCTCACTTCCAACATTAGAAAACTAAGACTCAGACATGATTTCTAAAAATTGCTTACCTAACCACAATGTTTTTACAAACACAATTCAGTGGTACAAGTATTATTACAGTAGCCGTGCAAAGTGTTCTATGAAAATACAGGCAGTGGGCGGTAAATTAAGCCTAGAGAATGTTCAAGAGTGCACTATATTCAAGTAACATTTATTTGACCTGAGCCTGAGGAATGGACAGTACTCTGCAAGTGGAGGAGGAGAGATGAATGTTCTGGACAGAGAGAAGTGCATTCAAAGACAGGAACCTGAAAGAACAAAGTGTGTAGTGGGGCCTACTGAACAGTTCTGAATAGAAAATAGGTTCTCAAGAGGACAGAGGTGAGGGAAGAACAGTGGAAAGGCATCTTCTCCAGAGGTGAGTTTCATCCTAGAGGTCACATGGAACCATTGAAAGTGCTTGAATGGAATGTTAACACAACCAATCCAGTGTTTTAGTCTGATTTCTGCTACCAGCATTGCAGCATAGAAGGGGAGAGATTGAAACCCAGGACCACCATTTAAAGTCTTATGCAAAGTTCCATTGGTTTGAAGAAGCATGGCCTATATAAAAGACTAAGACATAAAATGATTGGAACAGAGCTGGAAGGCGAGTGTTCAGTATTTTAGTTAGTTCTTCTTGGCCAAGTGCTATAGCTTGAATATAATTTGTCCCCACCAATACTCATGTTGAAATTTGACTCTCAACATGGTAGTATTGGGGGGGCCTTTTGGAACATGCATAGGTCATGGGGTGCTGCCCTCAGGAATAGATTATGTCCCCTTCGGTGTAAGTTAGGTTTCTAAGGAATGTTTTAGTTCTTGAGCAAACAAGTTCTTCTAAAGTGGACCTTTATAAGAACTGACATACTTCCTTTGGTCTCTCTTGCCATATGGGGCCCTCTCTTCCACATGTGCTGTTGGCCCTTCTGCTTTTCTGCCATGTATGGAACAGGACATGACCCTCACCAGAACCTGAGCAAGATGTTGCTGCCATGCTCTTGGGCCTCTGGAACTATGAGCTAATTAAATCTTTAAAAAAAAAAAAAATCCAGTCTCATTTGTTTAGTGACAGTAACAGAAGAGACTAACACCAGGCTGTAGGAGTTCATCTCTGCAATACAAAAACTCTGACAGGTTCCAGGCTACTATGCTAGATGGGCTTTACTCCAGTCACATTATCCAAGTCCATTGTGACAGTTGTGTTGTGTGTGTGTGTGTGTGTGTGTGTGTGTGTGTTTAATACCTTTATTTTATTTACTTGTTTATTTTTATGTGGCTGAGGATTGAACCCAGTGCCTCACACATGTGAGGCAAAGGCCTCTGAGCTACAGCCCCAGCCTCACCATTGTGTTTTCTTACTGGTGGATAGTATATACAAAGGAAAGGGTTTTCTCAAATCTTAGAAGCTTCTGAATAAACACCTACCTAGCTAAATCATGGATATATTTTTGGATGATAAAGTTGTTGTTTTTTTTTTAACATCCACTTTTCTGAAGGCTCTAACCAATCCAAAGATGAAAAATCTGACAGAAGTCAACAAACAACAGACATTTATACTATACTAGAAAATTTACTGTTTCAAGGATTGAAAATTGTGCAAAGTAATCTATTTGTTCATTTTTGTTTTTATTACACGTAGTTTGCCTCTTTCATTGGGACAGATTATAACAGCTGAGGGGGGAAAAAACAATAACACAGGGAGTTATCTTTCCAGGTGAGTAGTGGCTCCAACAGACTTAATCTTGTGGGTGGAGGTGACCGTCATATGAGAACACAGGAAAAGAAGCAGCCTCATTTCAGAAAAATCCCTGTGCTGAACTTAAGTGACTTTACCTGGGAATGGTCAGTGAAGCAATAGCCATGAATTTAGGGGCTTAAATTACGAAGAAAACTGTGTTTAAAATAAACAGCCAAGGAATGGCAACCAATCAGCAGGGGCAACCGATGACAGCACTCTTCATGCAGCTCATACTTATCACTGCCACCCTGCATTCTCACATTCCGTGAAAGAAGCCTTGGTGCTGCCAGAACCTAGCCACATTTTCCACTCCCAGCTTCGCATGAGTTGGAGAGGAGTTTGACATTACTTTGCCTGAAATGCTGGAGAAGTGGTACCAGGATGAAGGCCCTCCTTTGCTTGATTTCTCCAGCCTGGAAGTTGATCTAATTCATGAGTAAAACATCCTTCCAAACAGGGATTAGCACATGAAAGAAACAGCTCTGGCTCAGGGAAATGAAGTCTTAGCAAAGAAGGAATACCAATGAACACAGATGGGGGACCTCTACTGTGCCTCTGCATGCCTTTATTTATTGAGTACATTTTGCATACTTCCACACTATGATGGACCCTAGTCATATCATGGTAAAAAGATCAATGTGCATGTGAAAAGTTATGAAGTAGTTAAATAAGGTGCTCAAAGATACTAGGTCCTTATCCATGAAACCTGTAAACATTACCTTATATGATTTTTAAATGATCTTACAGATGTATTAAATTAAGGATTGGAAACAGAGGATCCTGGACTATCCAGGTGGGCCCTCAATGTAGTCAGGAGGGATCTTCATGAGAGAGGAAGAAGGAGGTTGAACATGGACAGAAGAGGAGGAAGCAACATGACTACAGAGGCAGAAATTGGATTGGTGTGGCTATAAGCCAAAAGAGTCCCGCAGCCACCAGAAGCTGGAAGAGACAAGGATATTCCCCCTGGAGCCTCTGGAAACCCTGCTGACAACTCAATTTCAGCTCAGTGATGCCGAGTTCAGACTTCTGGCCTCCGGAACTGTGAGAGGATACATTTCTGGTTTTCTAAGATGACCTGTTTGTGGTAATTTGTCACAGCAGCCACAGAAAACTAATACAATTTATAAAACAATAAAATTTTAATGCAGGGTTGAACAAAGTACCATTGAAAGCTTCACTATGGACCTGACATGCTAGCTGTTTCTGAAGGAAAAAAAAAAAAAAACTGAACAGAGCAAAAAGGCCTCCCCAAATGGATTTAAGACATTAAGGGTGCAAAGTCACTGGGATAGAAGATAATTTAACAATCTAGGGAACGGTTTTCTTTTATTTAACAAATGTTTACAGAGCTCTGGCAGTGTAGCAGGTGCACCTTTGAAATCTATCCTCACTTAATCCTCCTAAATCATGTGTCCAGGCAAAGCCAGTTGTCTGGTAATGACTCCATGCCCTGGACCATGCCACTGTGCTGCCTCCCTGTTCAGCCAGATCCACAACAGCCCTGAGTCAGGGATGTCTTACAGAAGTAGCCCTGTGCTGAGGCCATATGCTTAGCAGTTTGATCACACGATGTAAGCTCCATGGAGTCAGAGAAGAATTTTGTCTGGCATGATCAGATTTTTGCTTTAGAAAGGTCATTTGCATAGCTGAATAGAGAACAATTTAGAAGGGGCTGAGAAGAGAGAAAGAACTAAGGAATGCTATGCAGTAGTGGTCCAGGGAGAAATGTTGCTGGCGTGAGCAGAACAGTGACAGTAAG